AGCAATTGAATAAACGAAATCAAATCAAATACAAACTATATTCATTAAAAAAAAAAGAATGTCATTGGTTAAAAAATACTACAGTGTATATAGAATCACAAATTTCTATAATCAGGCACCTCATTTGCTGGTTGAAATATACCTCTCTGGCTTAATTTCCCCCCCCATTTTTCTGTAAGCAAAAACAAATCAAAAGTAAAATCGATCAAGAAATGACTGCCATATAAATGTGATCAGCCTAAAAATGCAGTGCTTGGTTTTCTACCTCCTTACTGGTTTTTGTACAGACTGAGATAACAAGTTTCTTTCGTTTTTCCAAACATTTTCAATTTTATTGCTTTGCTTTCTGGTTTCATTCACTATTATTATCCATGTCATTTTCCTCCTCATCACCGTCATCATCATCATCATCATCACCTTCTGACAAATCACTGAACCCCAGGGCCATGTTGACCCTCTTCCCCTTTCTCTTAGATGTGGTTTTGGAAGAATTCTGCTTGGCTTGCATGCTTATCTGCATCCCAGATTGCAGCACAGCTCCTGCTTTGTTCATTGAGAAGATATCCCCCAAGCCCATCAGCATCATGGCCCGCAGACTCTGGTTCATGCCATGGCCCTCCCCGTTACTTGTTGCTGTGATCTGACATGACATCTCTGCACTTTTTGACTCCTCTGTCTTAGATTCAAAGTAAGACTCCTCAGACATTCTTGCAGCAAGAGGCAAGAGAAGCTATCACAAAGAAAGAGAGGACAGAAGTAAAAAGAGAAATTAGGACCAATTTAAATAAAGGAAACAGATACCACAAAATTAGTGGGTGCTGCACAGAAGGTAAATGATTAGTGAAATAAATGAAGGTAGGGAATTATGTGAGAATTTACTTAATGGCAGGTTTGGCTCCAGTGTATTTGCCACAATTTATAAATGACAGAGTAAATCACAACCAAAAGTTTGCAAAGCACCATAGCAAGCCAAATTTCAAATGGGAGGGAAGTTGCAAGTTCTAAGCCTTCATTTTGCTTAAAACAAAATAGCTTTTAGGATTTCTCTTAATTTTTCCCAATTTCACTTTCACATAGAAACATTTAGTTAACTATTATATTTAAAAAGAAATTAAGTAGAGATTAAATCTCAAGTAAAAATCAAGAAACTGTACAAAAGAAGAAAAGCTTAGAGGAAGTGCGAAAACAGTTCGTCAGTACAGTTCTAGAGAAAGTGGGGTCATTACCTTTTAAGCTAGATTAGTATCTGACTATAAACTAAAAATGAGTCTAGAATTCACTTGTTTCCATTTATTATTTATTGCAGTTAGATATAATACTAGTTATTCAATTTATGCAATAATTCACTTGTGAACAAATTCTAGATTTCGTCTCTAACATTTAAATTATAAACAAGTACGGAAATACATATGAAAATTAGGAGGAAAGGAAATTAGTATTAATTTAGATTGTTACCTTTCTCTATTCTCTACTGCACAAGTTTCCTTCCTTTGGCAGATTTTTTTTCCTACAAATTCTTCTCACAGTAGGTACAGACATTTACTTTCTACCTTATGTAATTATTTTGAATAGCCAACCTATTCCCATAAATGTTGGTCATACTCGTTTCAGGGGTAAAACTGTTAGGATGTGCAGAGTGTTACTGCCTCTTCTTTTGAGAAATAAGCAAATTAAGGCTTATATTTTTGGTGTTGTTTATGTATCCTTTTTTTTTTTTTTAAAGATTTTATTTATTTAATTTTTTCCCCCCAAAGCCCCAGTAGATAGTTGTATGTCATAGCTGCACATCCTTCCAGTTGCTGTATGTGGGACTCGGCCTCAGGATGGACGGAGAAGTGGTGCCTCGATGCGCACCCGGGATCCGAACCCGGGCCACCAGCATTGCAGCACGCGCACTTAACCACCAAGCCACAGGGCCGGCCCTGGTGTTGTTTAAATGTGGGTAAATTTATGATAAACAATGTACAAATAATATAACTCTGGGATGACCTTTACATTCTGGGTGTAAAGATACTTTTTAGGGCCAATTTCCTAATTTTTAAATAGAAGTTGGAGCCAGGTTTTTAAAAAATTATTTACTTTTACTCTACTAGGAAAAGACTGCTGGAGTTGTTAGTTCAATAAGAACCTTATATAATTCAGCTAAAAAGTACCAGTTATGTGGAAGAAAAAATTGCTTTAGATCCTTTAACAGTGGAAACAGGATATTATTTTCCTTGCAGTCAAATTTTTCAGCTTCTTGGGGCCGGCCCAGTGGCGCATCGGTTCTCGAGCTCCACTTTGGCGGCCCGGGGTTCACAGGTTTGGATCCCGGGCGCGCACCGACGCACCACCTGTCAAGCCATGCTGTGGCGGCGTCCCATATAAAGTAGAGGAAGATGGGCACAGATGTTAGCCCAGAGCCAATCTTCCTTGACAAAAAGAGGAGGATTGGCATGGATGTTAGCTCAGGGCTGATCTTCCTCAGAAAAAAAAAAAAAAGAAAAAATTTCCCAGCTTCTCAAATTTGTTTTCAATTGGTAGATACTCTCGAGGAACTCTTTGTTGCTTATTGATTTTATTATTTCATGGGTCCTTCCTCACATTATGTTCAGATCTCAACAAATGTCTCTCAAATAAGCTTTTAAAGAAATGAAATTTTACATCAAGCTACAAGATTAATTAAAAAATAAACACTGTCCATTTTTATGTATGGAGAATTCATCTTGCCAAATACCTTTAACTAATGTTTTAATTTCAGGAAAGAAAATAGTGCCCTTCCTTGAAACAAATCCAATAATACGATTTTTTATGAAGTGACATAAACGTTAGACTTTTATCATTAAGATGAGGCTACATACAGAAAACCTAACCTTTCAGCCACTTCCTTATTTTAAAAAGGTTTATTTTATCTTTCTCGTAGAAACCTCATTTAAAGTCAACTACAAACTGATGTGAGGATAAAAGAAAAAACCGACTTAGAAAATACCTGAGCACAAACTTTCTTTCCTTCAGAAATATGAGCTCTAAGCAGAAGAGACATGAAAAGGTAGTACTGTAAAGAAAGAAAACTTAGCCCTCATAAGCAAAAAAAGGAAGAAAATCTCATTGAGATCATGCGTCATGCTGTCCATTGTTAGGTGGTAGCCCTCAGAGCAGTTTCTTTACAGAAAGTTTTCCAGAGTTAAAACACAAGCATACAACCTACTGAGCACTCATAGGGTTTCATTATTTATGACACAACTGTGTTACTAATAGCAATAATGTGTGTGAGGCAGCCCATAATTTCTTAGCAAAACTAATGCCAATAAACCAAAGAAAGGTTCTAAAGCATACTCTACTAGGTAGTTTAAAGTTTTTTCTTACAAGGCTACATTTAAAAGAGTCAAGCTATGCAGTGCTTTATAGCTTAAGATTTCAATGTGCTTAAAAAAAAAAACAAAAAACTCTCCGACTTCAGAAGACGGCCATATTTTTTCCTCTCATCAGCTCTGTGTTCCCACGCAGACCCTTAGGGTAATGCTTTCTGAGTCTGCCTGTTGGAACTAATTCAACCAGAACAGGAAACTTCCCTCCACTTCTTTTTGGAGAGCCAAGTTAAATTCACTGAACTTATCAAATGTGGCACCTTTTTAATGTTCCATAACAGTCTTATGTATAGCAAGTCAGTTCTTCTTGGGGATTCCCCTGATAACCTAAGTCATTTTTTAAAAAGTTAAATCTAATCATAAACATCTAACTTCACCGTATCTTCCTTTTTTGGATATCAGGTTGCTTCTCCACATAAACTGGAAAAGGAGGCAAAACTATTTTATCCTTTAGACACTGGAAACTACTTTGCAATTGGGCATTGGCTGCACAGGGGAGATTAAGACTTTTAAAAATAGGAAAGCTTTTTTTTTTTTTTTAAAGATTTTATTTATTTATTTTTTCCCCCCAAAGCCCCAGTAGATAGTTGTATGTCATAGCTGCACATTCTTCTAGTTGCTGTATGTGGGACGCGGCCCCAGCATGGCCAGAGAAGCGGTGTGTTGGTGCGCGCCTGGGATCCGAACCCGGGCCGCCAGCAGCAGAGCGCACGCACTTAACCGCTAAGCCACGGGGCCGGCCCTAAAAATAGGAAAGCTTTTTGAGGATGACAAAGTATAATTGCCATAACAACTGTCAAAAATGAATTTAAAATATATAACAAGTTTACTTTTAATCTTACCATTACTTATGAGTTTAAAGCGGACAAATATTGCCCATTAAAAGCCCCAGAAAAACCAATGATAAATTTAAACTTAATTCTCAAAATGATAAATCATTTAAAATAGAGAAGAATGCTGAAATTTAATTAGACTTCAATATGTCACGTCAGCATATAAGCTCACGATAAGTGTATAAATAGAGAAGTCCTTAAAAATAATTTTTATTTTACTTTAAATACAACACATGGAAAAAAGCCAAGATATTTCCTAGGTGTAGTAAATATTGGAAGCTTGTCCCAAGAGAAGTCTTTTTCCAATCTTTCGCTGTCCATGATCATAACACTAAATTGAGTAAGGAATATTAATGCTTTACTTATATGTCATTAAGTTAGCTCTCTTTTAGAAGGAAAACTTGGTTAAGTTCTGACACGTCAAAGACTTTCTTAGCTAGCTGCCTTTGTGTTACATTTATTAATTACTGACGGACTCTAAGGAGTTAATCAGCATTTAGGCACATGTTCTGGGGTTCTAACAGATGATGTGCAAATAGATTGGATTTTATTTTTCTAATTCTAATATACAGACACACTGACAGAATAACAGTTTGTAGAGAAAGAACCAGAAATAGGATAAGCTTTTCTTCTAAATGTCTGGCATTTTGTTAATTGAAATGAGATGTGAGAACTACTTGAGTACATGCAGGCCCTTTAATACACAGGCTCAAGGCAGGCAGGGAGGGGTGGCGGCGGGAGGGAGGGGAGAGTCGCCATGCTGCCATGCTCAGCCCAGCCTTCTAAGTGGGGGATAGCTGGCCCCGCAGGGAACACTCACCGGGGTGTTGGACTGCTCCGTCAGCTTCTGCTCCCACATCTTCAGACGTCTTTCTCGTTCTTTGAGCTCCTGCTCTTTAAAGCTGAGATCCCGCTCCAGTTTCTTCAGCCTCTCGAGAGTTGCTTCAATTTCGCACCTGCACAGGGATAACTGGTTTAAGTCTCAACTTTGCTCAAAGGTATTAAATGTTTAGTGGTCCATCAGAATGCTAATCAAAGTAAAAGGCTAAAACTTGTGCTTTATTTAGTTTCCAGTTTTATGGAGATATGATTGATATTACATCACTGTATAAGTTTACGGCATATAGCACAATGGTTTGACTTACATATATTGTGAAATGATTACCACAATAGGTTTAGTTAACCTCCATCACCTCATATAGTTACAATAAAAAGAAAAAGCAAAAAAAGAATTTTTTTCCTTGTGATGAAAACTCTCAGGATTTACTCTCAACAACTTTCATATGTACCATACAGCAGTGTTAAGTACAGTCATTATGCTGTACATTACATCCCTAGTACTTTTTTATCTTGTAACTAGAAGTTTGTACCATTTAACCACCTTTCTCCTACCCCCCCCCTTCCACCCCAGGCTCTTGCCTATGGTAACCACAAATCTGATCTTTTTTTCTATAAGTTTGGTAAAACTTGTGCTTTTAAACCAAATGGTAAACTATCAGAGCATAAGAAATCTTTTATATCCTTCAAAATCAACAGGTAGTTTCCAGTTTGGAAAAATAAGCTCAAAATACTGCAACAAAGCACTGAAGAACCACTGGGGCAGAGCCTAAGCTGGTGTCCTGGTTTAGCCATTTAATAAATGCTTACATTCATCTAGCTCTTTACAGTTTACAAAGCACTGTTATATATTATTTCATCTTATTCTCATAACAGCCCCAAGAAACAGGTCCTAATTTCATACAGAGAGATGGGAAAATGATACTCAGGTAAGGTGATCAATATCACATCATTAGTAAATTGACGTTAGCCTATTCGCTGGCTAACTCAAACAATTGACTGATTCACCTGACTCAGTTTCCCTAATTGTACGTGGTGTTGGTTAATTACATCAGGGCTCCCCAACTTGCCTGATCCTAAAAATTACCTGGGCAGCTTGTCCAAAAAAATAACACAACAAAACACAGATTCCTTAAGAGCTCATGATTCAGCAGGGCTGGGGGGAGGTCTAGGAATTTCCATTATTTAATAAAAAACCCAGGTAATTTTTACAATCAGGCAAGTGTGGGAAATCCTGGGCCAGATGTACTCTAAGGTTTTTTTAACTCTAACAATTTTAAAAGAAATGTCCCTCCCTAGGCTCTATAGGCCAACCAACTTCACCACTTGGAACAACATGTCCAGTTACAGAAACCTGTCCTTTACAGAAACTGAAACTGGTAAGATGGCTAGGTGCAAACTGTTTTCTCTTTCGGGGGTGTCATACGTTTAGGTAAAGATTTATGCTCTGAGAGCTAGAAGTTCTTTCCCTTGAGTTTCTGAAGAGCCTATGAAAAAGCAACAGTAATGAGAGAAAGAAGGAGAGAAAGATAAGGAGAGGGAGGGAGGGAGGAAGACGAAGGAGGGAGAGCGCAAGGGAAGGAAGGGCTGGAAAAGACACAAAGAGTGAAGGAAGCAGAAGGAAGAGACTGGAAATCGGTGACTACTGTCGATTCGCTGTTGAGTACTGCCAACGGCTGCCTCCAGATGCCACTGAGACAAAGCTGCATTCCAGACCGTGTAATCCTGGTTGAGACCTTGACTACGGAAGGTAGGAGCCCCCAGATCTAAGTCAATGAATATATGTAACCAAAATCTGTCTTTTTATTTCCAGGGAAAATTAGATTGAGTGGACAGCTTATTCTAATGCCCTTGTAGATGAGAACTAAATGAAGGAAAACAAAAAGGTTCTGTGTATTAATTGGCAAAGCCCAACTCGGGGAACAGCCATTGAGGTGGGTCTGGATTTGGGCCCAACACTTTCCTTTTCTGGTTGTCTGAAAAGTACCTCAGAGCAAGGGGGGTAGCAATTAAACGTAAAAGCATCTGCTATCAACACTGTCCCTTTTACTGGTACCATTTGAAAATTATAAAACAATATAAATAAAGTCACACTATAGTCCCCCAAAAAAGGCACTAAATCAGCAATCTTTCAGAATTATGACTGTATCCAAATGAATAAAATCCAAATTTTATTCCCAATATATTTTTTTAATTTTTTATTTATTTTTTTCCCCCAAAGCCCCAGTAGATAGTTGTATGTCATAGCTGCACATCCTTCTAGTTGCTGTATGTGGGACGCGGCCTCAGCATGGCCGGAGAAGCGGTGCGTTGGTGCACGCCCGGGATCCGAACCCGGGCCGCCAGGAGCAGAGCACGCACTTAACGGCTAAGCCACGGGGCCGGCCCATATTCCCAATATTTCTGACAAAAATATTATGCCCATTCATAAATAAGTTTGTTTTTATTTTTCAAATGGAGGATTGAGGAAAAAAATTAATGTGGAAAACCTTAGGTTAAACTTTTGTAACAAAAAAGAAAGACTGAGGCTTCTTCAGTAAGTGAGAGGGTCAGAGGGTGACAAGGAAGCCGCAGAGCTGGGCACACTCAGTGGCCAGATGGCAGTGGCCTGGGCTGTTGTCTCTGCAGTGCTTCTGCCAAGCCAGTCCCAGCTCTCCTGTCAAGGAGACAGATCTCACTGATGTTCCTTCTGTTCAGGGTAAATGGCCAACACATTCGATTTCACTTGTAATTTAAGCCCAGGATTCATCTCAAGTTCCAGCTCTGGGAGCCCACTGTGAGTTTGAGCCCTTCTGAAAAACAGATCAACAGCTAAGGAAGCTGAAAGCCGACACTGGAAAACAAACGCTGACTGAGTGAATAGGCTTCCTCAATCTGTCTCCTCAGGCCCCGCTTCCCAGCGCTGCTCCCCCAGACGTCCGGGATCCGACAGCAGTGGTGGAGGTTATGCCATGAGAGAGTCCCCAAACCGGAGGGCAGCATAAAGACAGCTGCTCCCCTGGCTGTCCCCTTTGTTGCTGCGTTGTTCTGCGTTAAATGCATCTGTTGATGCACTTATATAACTTTCCTGTTCTAAAAATATAGTTTAAGTGTTTTAGTTGAGGAAAATTATGGTTTTTCTCCTAAACCAAATGCAACTAAGGTTGACTTCATCTAGCATCAGTTTTCCATATGCCAAAAACAGGCAGTGAACTGTAATTATCTTCTTTTATTAAAAATTTACTTTGAAATAAAAGGTCAATTTGTCAAAACAGCTGTATTATATATATTACATGGTAAATATATAAGATGTAATATTAAATTTAGTGTTATGTATTAAATGACTTGTGCTAACATGCAAATGGCAAAGATTAAGTTTTTTTTACTCTCTGTGTTTTGTTTTTAAGGTGTGCCACGTGAGAGTATTTTGATCACCAAGGAAGACACAACCACCTGAGTGTTTTGCCAAGAGACACAGGTCTGAACGCTCCATCACAGTGCCATGTACAGGGCTCACTCAGAGCAGGGTACCATGGGGCTGTAGACAATCCCATGGGGTAAGGGAAGCTGCAAACATGACCAACATTTTCTGTTTTCATGCTCATTGCCATTATTGCTAATAAGTCAACAGGAGGAGAGACAAGCTGAAGATGTGATGAACAAGGAAATGTCTGACTCTCAATTTCTTTCTTATCATTTATTAGGGCAAAGGAAAGAACACAGTTTATGTGGTTTTTAATAACCTAGTTTTAAAAAGAATTTTCAGAATAATCATTAATATTCTGAAACTAGATGTTCCACCTGGTCTTGTGTGGAGGAAGCTCTACCAGAAAACAGGCATTTGGCAGAAACACCGGAGCAGGACTGGAATCACACTTCACTGCGACTCGAATTTACTACATACACTTGGGACTCTAGTCACACGGTCTCAGACGCCAGGGAGAAGTCGGGGGAAGAGAGGGTTAGTCCGAATGTGTTGCCCTTTGAAATGTCCAGGTGCTCTGACAGAACGTTTAATTCCTTTCGGCACTTGGTATACTGAGTGAGACAGCTGTTTTCCCTTAATCATAACCTAAAACGACGATGCCCTGTAATGTTTCTCTTCGCTAAAAAGGAATCTAGTCAAGTGAGCACTGCATGCTAATAAGTGGATGGCATGACACTGTGACACTGGCCACAAGTCCAGGAACAGCACTGCACAGTGTGTGTGCCACAGCAGGCCTGTGGGATGGGACCACCTGGTTTCCCTGCTGGCTCTATTAAGGTATGATCTTGGGCAGGTTACCCAACCGGTCCAGGCCTTGGTTTTCACATCTGTGATATAAATTAGGATTGCTATGTGGATTAAAAGAGAGAATCCAAATAAAAGCACAGGCATCTGGTACGAAAGTAATGCATGACAGTTGTGTACTATTGTTATTCTAATTAATACTATTCCCCATGTTTTTAACCAAGTGCCAAGTTCAGTTAAAACAGTTCTGCTGCTTTTCAAACTGCTTTAGTGGTTCAGGTAAAGATCCGTACTCTCTCTCCAGCTCTCAGGATTAACTAGTTCCTGCAAGAGCCAATGAGGTAGCCCCCTAGGCAACTATGTAACTTTTACTAAAATACATTAATGTAGTACCAATATTATTCCCCGCATATTTTCATCTTGAAGCATTTTAAAAATTATTCAATTAATCCAGGTTTATTGTAGAAAATAAAGATACAAAAATATAAAACACAATAATCTTATTACCCAATGATAACAATGAATTTTTGGCACTTTTCTCTATGTACACATACATATACACATAAATGTTTGTTTTACAAAAAATGGAATCATTCTAAACACACTGGACTGTAGCCTCTGTTTTTAAATCATTTATCAGATCTGTATTATGAACGGTTCCATACGATTCTGTGTATGGAGATATTTTTTTAAAACCACAAAAAAAGAAAACCAAATAAAAACCAAAAATAAATCTCCTTTCATTCCACTTTATGCCGTTTCCAGTTTTACAATTCTAAATAATGCTGTGATAAACAAGTGTTCATACATTCTTTCACAACCTTCTTATTGATTTTTTTTAGGAATAACGTGGTAGTGGTAGAGGTGTCTGATCTATACTGCCAAACTGTCCTCCAGAAAGCTAGTATTTTCCCACCAGCGATGTGTCAGAAAGTTTATAACACTGGAAATTTTCATAATATACGTTTTTGCCAATCTGATAAATGAATTATATTCCCTTATATTTGATTGCTAAGTGAGGCTGAATGTTTTTCATATGTTTATTGGCCATTTGATTTCTCCTTTTGTGAAATGCCTTTTAATGTCCTTTAGTATGATATTTTAATTAAAATGGTATTTTAAAGATGGTAAATCTTTGTCTATCACCATGGTTTTCAAAGTGTGGTCTGGGGACCCATGAGAGCTTCAAAGTATTCCAGAGGTTAAGCTGGTTTTCAGAATAACATTAAGACATGATTTGCCTTTCCTATTCTCATTCTGTCATTATTGTAAAACACCAGCCTTCCCAGAGGCTTCATGACATGATAGTGCCATAGGCTGAATGCAGAAGCACGATTTATTATTGTTTTTTTAATGAATAAATAAATACATATTTAAATTTGTTCTCAGTTCTAATTTTGAATGTGATAAATATTGACAGATGTAGGTCATTAAACAATAGTTTGGAGTCCTCAATAATTTTTCAGAGTGTACTGGAGTTCTGAGATCAAAAACTTTTAAAACTGCTGATCTATCATACAGGGGGACAAAAAGTTCTAACAGTATGGCATTTGTTTTGGAAATTTATTTATGAGGGGTATTGCTTTTGGCTATATGGAGGTTTTACATTTTTATATAGAAAACTTATCAACTTTTCCCATTTCCTGATTTTGTTGACATATTTTAAAAGACTCCCTATCTCAAGGGTATTATTAGTAGTGTTAAAATCCTACTAATCCTTTGGATAACAGATCAAACAACATTTCCTCAGGGAGTCCTTTTATTATGTCCTCAGATGAGATTAGATTTCATGGTTTCATACTCTCAGATGTCTAGTACTTCTCTGTCATAATACTTATCAAATAATAATGAAATAGTTATTTGCATATTTATATTTAGTAGTTTAATACTGGACACTCCATGTGAAGTAGGACTGTTCTGCTCATCACCACACCCCAATACCTAGAAGGGCACCTTGCCCCAGCAGAGGTTCAATGAGTATCTGAATGAACGAATGTAAGAAGCACATTTGTCATGCAAACACATTAACTTACATATTTATATTCTCTTGTGCGATATCATATTGTCTTTTTATATTATTACCACCATGGTATTTCCTTGCCCAAATATTTATTGATATCGAGCAATTGCTGTGTTTAAGGTGCATACTAGATGCTGTAGGTACAGTGATTAAAAAAAAGGGATTATCTGACCCTCTTACATTTTAACCAGTGAGACACACATTAAACAACAAACTGCAGAATTACTTATTAATTCCAATAGCACATAAAATGGAACTTCACCTCGTCTGGGGCCAGGAAACACTTACTTGAAGACATGTTATTTCAGCTGCTATCTGAATAACAAATAGTTGGGTGTGGGTGTCAGGGGTGGTGCCCTGCTGAAATGGGATGAGTTTTTTTTTTTTTTTTTTTTTTTTTAGATTTTATTTATTTTTTGCCCCCAAAGCCCCAGTAGATAGTTGTATGTCACAGCTGCACATCCTTCTAGTTGCTGTATGTGGGACTCGGCCTCAGGCTGGACAGAGAAGTGGTGCCTCGATGCGCACCCGGGATCCGAACCCGGGCCGCCAGCATCGCAGCGCGTGCACTTAACCACCAAGCCACAGGGCCGGCCCTGGGATGAGTTTTAAACAGAAGAAACTACATTTGCAAGGACTCTGAATGGGGAAGAAATATGCATCTGTTGAGGGACTGAAAGCCAGAAATGAAGGAGCAGAATGATGCTCTTAAGATGTACAGAGGGTCTCATGAATCTTGTTAAGTATTTTGGCCTTTGTCTTTGAGTAATGAGAACCCCTTAAATGGATTTTAAAGGGGAGTGATCTGATTAGATTTGTGATCTCTTACTGTGGGAAACAAATATTACTTACATATTTTGTTTTCTATTACTTCAGCCCAGAACAAAGTCTCTCGTACCTAGACTCGAGCAGACAGTATTACTTTTGTATCCTTAAATAAAAATTCACTTAACTCCTGGCCCTAGATAGAGATTTCAAAAGAATAAAAATAAATAAGGTGATTGTAAAACACCAATCAACCAGAAAGCCCAAAGCAATGTCTACAGGAGTGAACAACTCTGTCGTTTTCAAAGTGCATGCAGTATTCATTTGGCATCAGCAGGTGGCGTAAGGCGTCATGTTACTGCCCTGCTATCAGGAGGAGAGATGAAGTTACCGAAATCTCTGCTGAGTCAGGGAGGAATCATGTCAGCTCCCAAACATGCTATTTATATTCGTGCATCATGTGACCTGGCTCAAATGTCTCATCCCGGGCTGGCTTCTTCCACTCACACAATACAATTTTCTCATTACTAAATTTGTTTTGCATTTGACAAAATTTAATAGATTTATAACATCAAAAGTTTTCTTTAAAAAGTGCTTTAATAGTCTCCCTACCTCCCCATCAACAGATACAGTGCTCTGCAAACTTCTAGGCAAACAGTATTTTTATTTCTCCCCAGACAGAGGCCAAAGCTTCCTAACACAGAGTGTACGCAGAGAAATGTCTGGTAACTGTCTTTTGTCTCAGAAGATAACGATTTCAATATTCTTTCCAAATACTTAGACATATGATAAAACAACAAGCTTCAAGAAACACTGTTTTTTGCTTACATATGAAATGGAGGACTTATTAGATCTCCAAAAATTTTTAACACACAAAAACAAAAAAAAAGCCCCAATTTCTAAGCCATGAACCAGGACTGTCATCAAGTTCTCTGGTTCTCTTCTTTGCTGAAGCTAGTCATGGTCCTTTAAAGCCAGAGGATATGACTCCGGGACGAGGCCTACCTACCTCCACTCTGCCTTGTTGTGCAAGAAGGAGTTACACTGGTCAGAAAGTTTAGTATCATTTGACATAGACTCCAGAATTGAAATGATTTGCTTGAAAGATGGCCGTTTCTGAAGAAGAGAAAATACATAATCACTCGTTGGGACTTAAGAAAGTAGATCTTTAAGAGAAAATCCACAAGCATAGTAATAAACTCAATTCACCATAACAAAATAAAATGTGATGTAATGTCCTAATTTAGTTATTTTATAACTGTCAGACCGTTCAGGTTTAGGGAATCGTATTTTGTATTTTCAATCAATTATTCGTAAGAATAGACTGAGATGTCATTTTTCTATCGTGTGGCCTAAGGTTGGAATAATTACAGTTTTTCTCTAGGTAAGGAAAGTACTAATTCTGTCTTTTGGGTATGGTTAAGGACCCCTAAAAGGCAAAAGTTAAGTCCTTTAAAAATCTATCTCTGTGATAAAGCAAGTATAGTAAAAGTTAATGGCAGAGCTGGGTGGTAGGTTTACCAGTGTTCACTGTAAAATTCTTTCAACTTTTCTGTATGTTTGAAAATTTTTATAACAAAATGTTGGGGGTAAGTCTACTTATCAATCTATCAGCAATCTAAACTAATTGCTCAGAGAAACAATCCCCAATTTTAAAGCCATCATAACTTCATTGTTCTCCATGTTTATTCCACATTATAACTAGCTTTGGTGCTGGGAAACTCTTAAGGTTCTGTTTAGCAGAAATTGAAAAAGGACTGGTTAGGATGTATTTCTTTACGCAGCAGTATCTACACTAGTCTATCTCTTTAAACTCTAGCCAAGGTTGAGACAAAAGGTTAAAACAGAATGGAGAAAGATAATAAAAGGATGATGCACATTCTCTCTTCATCATGCCTCATAATTATACATTTCTGAGCAAATTACGGTTGCAGCAATTAAAACATGCATTTTAATTTGGAAGCAAAAAAATCAAGAAGGAACAATGCTGAGGTGGTTTGCTCTCAGGACTTGAGTGCTTCCTACATTAAGAAAGGCAATTTTTCCATTTCTCAGGAATATAAAACTGGGCTATTTATTCTGAGTTCTGTCATTACTGTCATTACACCTCTTTTAAGGGTGTGTGTTTGTGTTTTAAGAAGAGGGCACAAGTAGCTAAATGTCACTGATGTACAGTATGCTTTCTAATCAGCAAAGAAGAAAAGGCCTTAAGTAGGAAATCTGAAAAATTCTTTTGACTCTGTTTCCATTTTAATTTCTCCCATCATGTGTCAGGTTGCAAAAGGAAAAATGTTTTGATTGTTTTCACAGGAACTAATTATATAATAAATATAGGATTTTCATTTTGCATGGAAAAACAGCAGGAGGAGCTTATTAATTTTTAAAGAATAATATTTTTCCCACATTTAGTCATCCTTGAAACAAAGGTGGAATTCTTTTGCAATTGGATGACAAGTATCCCTGGAAAAGTCTTAAATTTATAGTTAGAATATGCTCTCAGATGGAAATTATCAAAGTGAACATTTAAAAAGCGATAACAATGCAGAATTTTGTGTTAATAATATTTTATGAGTATTCTGGTTACACAATACAAGATTTGGTTTAGGATCTTATGTAAGTTCCTCTGAAGGGACTTAGGTTCCTTTTGGTCTGATGACACTTTGCTTACTGACACAGTCACAACTAGGACCATTTATTAAGCATCTACATACAGTATTTCTTTGTTATCTTCATTTTATAGGTAAGGAAAATCAGTCTCAGAAAAGTATATATTGCCCAGCATCACACAGGAAGCAAGTTACAGAAACAGCGGCCATGCTCTTAAACCCTTCCTAATGTTTTATCATGTGAGGGTATGATATTACTTCCTATCAAACTCAGGGCTTTATTATTTTTTCCTTATTTAGAAATGTCACTTTAGAACTTGAACCAATACCCATCTTTACTTCCTTTTCTTCAATAAAATATTTTGAGCACCTGGGGTTGCCAGTGGAATGATCTGACATTTACTTACTATCAGCTTTCTCTTGTATCCATTACCCCTCCTCACTGCAAAAGAACATATTTCTATAGGTGAGCTGAATATTTTAATCTATGTGTTAATGCTCTAAATAAACTCTAAGGGCTGAAAAAAAAGAAATAAAATGTATTAACCACCTGTTGCTCTCTATGTGCATAGGACTGGCTACTTCAGTCCACAACAAATTGGGCATCTGCTTACTAAATTTATGTAAAAGGTGCTCTAGGGAAACACATCTAAAACTAGCTCTGTTCCCTGAGAGAGCCTGCAATCCATCTAGGAAGAAAAGATATTTTAAAAAATACAACAGTACAAGGTAAGGAATAGCCCAGATTGTGGTTTAGGGAAAGGAGTACTAAGTGTGGGCTGGGGTAACAGAGTGACCAGGGAAGGCTTGAGGACGAAGTAATCAGGGGAGAGAGGAGAGAAGGAAGAGGGCGTGTTCAGGGAATGAAGTGTGTAAAGTGTGTCTAGAGATCAGCAGTGAGAGCCGGAATGGGGGCTGTGGCTGGGTGGACAGTCAAATTGAATACAGGGGCACGTGTTAGTTGCATCAGAATAAACGCCATGAATTTAGGAAATAAAAATCAATCTTAAAACTTTCTTTATACTTCACCTGGCTAGAACACAAGTTTCCCCTGGTCCTAAAGAAGGGTCACCTTATTACATGTTAAAGACATGCCACCTTCATGGCATCATCACTGGGCCTAATGTCCTTGTTGTGTTAGATGTGTACACTATCATTTAATTAAGGCACCATAAATGTATATTCTTAGAATTTTAATTAACGTGGTACAGTTTCCAATTAAGAATTCAAAACCTGCTTTGCATACTGAAATATAATTACAATTATAGAGATCTAGTTGCGTTAATCTAATTCAATGCAAATAATTTCAGGTGAAATTTCTATTTAAGTATCAGAGAGAAAAATATTGCCAAATTACTATATATGCCACAATGGACATATAACTGGCAGAAAGAGTATGGAAAGGGTAGTATGATACCATTTTAACAGTATAAAATAAATGCTCCAGAGCAAGCTTGCAGATAGCCACTTATAGTTTCTACTGGATTAGTCACAAAGTGCATGCGTTTCACTTAATGCTTAAAAATCCCCATATTTTGCAAAATCACACACTAAAATTATAGGGCCTAAACAGGGGCAGGGCAGACCATTCAAAACCTATGCAACTTTGTTACAGAATACTAATAACACCAATAATAATCCTAAATAAAAATATTAACACAGTTTAAAACAATGTTAAATTCTTTAATAAAAAACAATACTAAGTAAATATAGGACTCTCCTTTAAAAAGAGGTGAAGGTAGTTAGATGAACATGAGTGAAAGCAAAGATTGAGGCTGCTAGTTATCAGGGCAAAAGTGAACCGCACAAGGCTGGGGAGAACCAACAATAAACTCTGCCGAAACAAAGCACTGGCCAGCCTAGCCAACAGGGAGCACGCGGGTGGAGGGGTCTCACAGCTCCATGTCCCTTGCTGCACTCCTGGGCACACTACTGTACTTGGTGTACAGCTGTCCTCACTTAGTGGTGTGGAAGGATGTGCCAGGAAACATTATGCATAATTCAGTGTGAATTCTGTGTTATATTAACACAATTCCCATACTCACCAATTGTTTATGAGTTATTCCCACTAGAGAAACATGTTGTAGAAAGACAGACTATATGTTATCATCATTCATTCTTCTTTGGGCTCAGACTGGAACTGGGCTTAAATTAAGGAAGAAATTCCATTCTTAAGTCTTTCTTTTCAGATCTCTATTTAAAAGGTGAGTTTGCAATCCATCGATTTCCATGAAAAACTGGACAAGTTGGAACTGTAAAATTTTAGTTCTTTTTTTGAGTGTATCTCTCTTATTCTAACGTTTAATCTGAGGATGTTTATTTTTTACCTTTTTATTATGGAAAATTCCAAAGATACACAAAAGAACCTCCATATACTAATCACTCAGCTTCAAAAACTATCATGGCCCACCTTGTCTATCCATCATCCAATTCCTTTCACTTTATTTTAAAGCACATCCAAGACTTGCCTATCATTTCATCTATAAATATTTCCATGTGTATGTGCGAGTCTTAAAACGATCTTTGCAGGGAAAGGAAATGGGCCATTCATGCTCGAATGTGATAACCACATGAAAGCCTAAAATCTGGAATTTCTCCAATTCTATTGTGATAGCTTAAAAAAACATCACTGAAAGTGGACAGGGAGAACATAGCAAGATTCTCCAGAAGTGCTGCTTTTGCCTGGTCTCTGCTCAGAAAGGCAATATAGTGTAGTGGTTAAGATACCACTAAGATACGCATAGGGATGCGTGTCAGACTGCTTGGGTTCATTCTCCAGCCCCACTGCTTACTAGCTGTGTGGCCTTGAGCTCATTATTTAACTTCTGTGTGCCTGGTTCTTCATCTGTAAAATGAGGATAATAACAATACCTATTTCACAGAGATGGTCTGAGGAATAAATGAGATAGTATACATCAAGTGCTTGGAACAGTGCCTGGCATATAATAAGCACTGTGTGCTAGCCATTTTTATAACATGGAAGTGCAATAGTTATTATTAAAGATGAAAAACAAAGGAATAAAATTCTTTTTATGGAATCAAGAATGCCAGAGTGCTGTAAGAAAGAGCCAATAATGAGTTCCTAGGGATCAAGATAAGCAGATGTCAACAGTCAATCTGGGGCTCACAGGAGGAGCAACCCAGCTTTGCTCTGTAATGAATTTTATTACCCCAAGGATTAAAAACTCAAAGCCAAACAAACAAGTGAAGTTTCAGAATTCTAACGACAACAAAAACATATATCTATACCTTGGCATCAGCTTCCCAACACTGACGTAACAGTTCAGCAAAACTTCTGGGGCAACTGCTTGGAATGGTTAATCTCTACAACAGAGAAAGAAGACAGGAACCAAAACAAAACAAAACGCAAGGATTTACTCGTGAAGGTAAGCAAATACTAATTGAAAAGTCATTATAGCGTTAATTTAAGAGCATCAACAAGACAAATTTAAAGCTTCCATTGATTAATATGTGACAGGTGAGAATTTATGTTTAGATTCATAATATCTAATCTCTAAAGACACGTATACTTTTCTTCCAAAGAGGAATCATAGTGGATGGAGAAATCAGGTTCAGCACAACAACAAATGCAACAAGACATAGAATCAAGTCTAAAAGAAACTTGATTGCTTTTAGGCAAGAGGGGCAAGTTGGAACTTAAATACTAAATCTAAAACCACAAATCTATCACTGTACTTTTATAGGCAACTCTGAAATATGCAAACAGGCTGGGCAACTAGGAAAGGAGTTCAGCATTGGCAGCAGGTGTACAACTCTGAAAACTTCTTCAGCACAGACCATCAGAAAGATAATTTTAAAGGATTGTGTGTTTTCTCATTGGCAAAGAAGACATTCTGAATGTATGACTCATATGGCTTAGTTCTGGTGAAACTCGTCAACTGTAAGGACTTGATACAACAAAGATTATAATGTGACGATCAGTCCTGTTCTAACATTCTACAGTAGTGGTTCTCACAGAACACAGGATGCCCCCGGGGGCTGCTCAGAAATGTAAGGAGGCATTTGTGTTTGTTTTAAAGACTGGAGGGTTGCACCTGGAGCAGGGCAAGAATGCTAGACATCCTTCAATATATCAGAAAGCCCTGATTAAGAACTCTGTCATATTCCACCAAACTTGAAATGCTCCATGTGCATTCACGTAAGTAAAACAAGCAAACAATGAGGTTTATAATTTTCTGAGCCTAGAATCTAACTCTGATTTATAAATAAACACAAAGTATTTTTTGAATAGTTTTAAAATGCACTGAACTTTCTAAGAATGCAAATACCAAATAAAATAAATCAAGGGCAGATTGACTTTTGCATTATTCATAACCTTACCAAGATTTTTGGAAAATGTCACCTACAACAGTGCTGCCCTTGGTACTGGAATCATCACTACAACCCAGTTCTACTCTGCATTTGTAGCTGTTGAATTCCATTTATAAATAGGTGCAAGCATCTACAACTGTTCCATTATCTCCTCTACTGTGGTCATGCTGAGCATTTATACATTGCAGTACATATTTCATTTATTTCTTCTTTATGTTACAGTTAGAGCATTATGTTGACTTAAAATATAATGTGTGTAGGTAGGTTATACTACCTCTGAATTTCATTTCAGGGAGGAAGAGGGCGAGTCAACACACTTATAAAAAGAGCACTGGATGTGATAGAGTTGAAAACCCCGATACTTAGAAGGACTACGAAGATTTATTCCACAGTACTGTTTGCCAAAGAAGTTTTGCAAAGAAAAAGCTTAAAGCTTAACTTAGTTGGATTTGGGGGAGGCTATGTGTAAAACTAGAAAAATAGTTGCCTTGGCAAGAAAACAATCTATATTTGGAATTACAAATAACTCTAAAATCAAAATAAACTAAAATAAATAAAACTTTAAAACAAAGTAAAAAAATAAAACAATCCTCTTCAAGTTAGAGGCTATGCTAAGCATTTTTTAACTTCTAGTCTTGTGATTTCATAGAATAGAACAAGATGTAGTAAACTGTACTATTATTTTACTGTAATGTAAGCTGGAAACCTTTTGATAAAGATCAAAAGGAAAATTAGGTGTTTACTTTTTTAAAAAACATACACAATGGCTGGGGTGGCAACTAATAAAAACAGACAGTAATTGCAATTATGCAACTGAATGCATTCCATGTATAATGAAAAATAATTTTTCATAAAAGGTAACATTTTCAATATAACTTTATCTCAACAGTTTTCCAAGAACTGAAATGTGAACTGGATCAATATGGATGTTGATCTTTTCTATCATCTTTTCTTACAGACAAACTTTTTAGATATCACTTCTGAGACATTATAAAAGGAGACAAAATTATTTTAAATTATCTGAAGTGGTCAAATATCAGCTAAATCTAGACTCAGACACCTTATTTAAGGGATTATTTTGGTACATTAAAAAGTACTTTAAAAGAGAATCCAAAATATTGTCCCGATTACATAGCTGTGGGCATTCCTAATGGCATTAAAACATTCTGAAACAACCAGATATTGGCACCAGGTTTGCACACTACTTAAAACTTAAGTATTTTAAAATAAAACAGTTTAAAATTTAAAATTAAAATATTTCACAACCACTAAATTAGGCATGACATTTTTTAAAGACCATATTCTTTCTTGCACCATTTTCTACATAAGATGCAAAAATTATTTTTTAAGTCAAGTTTATTATCTTTTTCTAAAGTATAGTCAAGAACAATGGATTAAGTTTTTTGAGGCTTTCTATGTTAATCAAGAATACCAGTTTTGCTACTTAGAACAAAACACATTTTGTACAAGAATCTAAGTATTTATAAAGACAGAAATTACGCTGCCAGAACATTCTGAATGAGCACTAATTGAGTTTTATGGAAATTACAAAGGCAAAAATACATGCATGTAAGATTTAAAAAATTTATTGGTAATGCCCTCTTAATTTCATGCCTTCTATAAGGGTTCATTGTTTGCTTTGTAAAGTTTAACAGTGCTTTATTGCTCTAGTTTTAATAGGATTTAATATTAGGAAAAATTATTGTTTGAAGGCCTTATTTCATTATTAAAAGTTTAGAAGCAAAGACCTTCAAATATAATTTTCAGAAAATATTGATCTTCCTCTAGATGCAAAAAGCAATAATAGGGGCCAGCCCCATGGTGTAGTGGTTAAGCTTGGCGCACTCTGCTTTGGCAGCCCGGGTTCATGGGTTCGGATCCCAGCACAGCCCTACACTACTCGTCAGCCATGCTGTGGTGGCAACCCACATACAAAATAGAGGAAGACTGGCACAGATGTTAGCTCAGGGTGAATCTTCCTGAACAACAACAACAAAAAGCAATCCTACCTGGTGAAAGTGAATAAGGTCTAGAGTCTAGTTAAGAGTAATGTATCAATGTCAATTTTCTGTTATTATACCATACCTATGTCTCACCAGTGGGGGAAGCTGGGTGAAGGGTACACAGAATTCTTTGTAATATTTTTGCAACTTGCTGTGAGTCCATAATTATTTCAGGATAAAAAGTTAAAAAGAAAAGATAATGCTAATATTTGGATATAGGTGCATTCTAGGGTGACTAGCTCACATTTAAAATGTCTCCCTCAAAGTTTAAACACATCTTTCATTATTTAAATGAGGCCTGTTAAAAAAAATACAGCTTTCTCTTTTTAACTCAATAACCCAAGGTATTCCAAAGTAAAAATAAATAAAATAAAATAATTAGAAGTTGAAGGGGTTTTATAAATTATATTTAAGCCAAAGTACCAATTTTATTAGGAAATGAAATAAATTCTTGGGAATTATTTAACGCTACATCAACAGAATTTGCTTTGGTAATAGTACTTCCATTTATGAGGTGAAATGAAGACACCTTCTTGAATGAAGACAATGGAAACTACATTTAAACTTAATTTCCATATTGTTGACAAATATTGTGCAGAATAAGAATAGACAGATAAATATCCTTGTAGTACCCAATTTTCCTTAAATTCATTAAAAAGTTGAGAAAATTTATTTCACCATGTGGGTTTCTTTCAACTTACTATCATATTTCATAGATACAGTATTGGAGGTATTTGAGTAGTCTCCATCAGTTATTAGCTGATCATCAGATCACACCATGGATAAAAGAGCACTCTCTACTGTAGGGGATGCCTGGGGAGAAAGGGGGAGATAGACTCCTCATGCACATATTGAGGAGGTTCTGAAGGCTATTTATGGGTGACTCCCAAATCTCAAGTCAACTATCCAAAGGCAGTTTTTAAATTCATTTTTCTCTTCAGTTTTAAAAATCCTTGATGGATACTCCAATGTTTTGAAAGTGCTTTAGAGTCACATCTGTTCTGCCATCGTTTAGATGAAATATTATTTTAAAATATTAATTATTCTGTCATACATATTTGGAGGGTTCAGTTAACTTTTAAAAAAACTTCTTGTTTATCTTGAAATGATATAGAGGGAAAACATTATACTGAGTGCTCTGCTCCAAAGTCAACAGAAGGTCAATAATTTTCTTCGCTCTCATTTGTAAACCCAGAACCAAACATCTAATCATCTCACTGGCGAAAGAAACAAAACAGAAACAAGTGGGTTCTCATATCATGAAAATATCAGTTACCCTGTATGTGAGGTCTGATTTAATAGCACACCAGGAATAACTATCACATTTAATTAAAACAGAACAGTTCCTATGAAACAATGAGTAAGACACATTCTTGAATATAATTCCTTTTTATTTTTTTTAAATTGGCAGCTCTCTCCCATCAAGTTCAGCTATCATGAACATTTCATCCATTCTGAGTGGCTCAGGAGGACAAATTAATAAGGTAACCCTGGATTATGTGATCTAAAATACGGAAACTTGGTTTCTCTTAGTCAATAGCAGCTTTTTGATTAATCTGGTTTGTTCCTGCACTCACATGGGGAGCAGATCAATGTAATTCTTTTAAAGCATTAAAAAGGGAATATCTCTAGACATTCACCTTTTTGCAAATTATTTTATCCTAAGGTTGCACTCTTACCTTTTGTGGAAGGCACAGATAAGATTTGGAAATGAAGAAGTTTTGTGAAATAAAGTTGTTTTGCATTGCAAAGACAACTGCGTGCTTCCATTACTTGATCTAAGTTCTCATAATACCTTGATATTGGATGCTTCATCCTTATGCTGAGAATTTCCATGGCTGTGCGTTTCAGTCACAATTTTAAACCTTTCAAAATGTAGTTGCTCTCTTTGATATGAATGTACCATGTTCTCTGATGTAGGCTCATAGGTCCAACTAAGTGAAAGCCTCAATTTGTGGGAAGAAGAAAAGCGAGGCTGGGGACACAGCACAAACGGTGTTTACGCCACTGAAGTTCTTTTGAAATGGAAAGGCTCTGCATGAAGAAGCGAACAGTTATGCCACTGCCTCGCCAATTCCAGTGAGGAGCTCATCTTCAATGTAGTGTTCAACGTAGGTGGCAAAACTGTAATTTTTCCCTTTTTTGAAACTATTTTTTCTTCTTTTATTTTTGAAATTCTCATCTAAGCGACAGTTTCTTGTACTATAGTGACTCCTGCTGGGAGAGGTAAGTTGAAGTAGCTGAAGGTCTCTTACAGATATATCAACTCCCGGCCAGTAAAAAAGATGTCCTAAACGCAGGAGATGGAGTTAAACTGTTCCCCTACCTTGGACGCAATGGCTTCTTTCATCACTAAGAACAAACCCCTAGGTTTTACAATTGAGACTGAGAAACTAGTACAGTACTTGTACAATTTTTGATCTACAGCATCACGACGTGAAGCTGCAACAATTAGATGTAAAGGGTCCATTCATGAGGAATAACATCACTTTGACCCTTTGTGTTAGCTCCTACTGCTAATCTTTCCATAAGCGTGAACTTACTTTCAATTTGAAGAAGATGAAAAAGTCTTTTGCAAAACCCCAATACTGTTTTCTGATCTATGTACCTGAATGGAGAATCGTAGTCTTACCTCGTTTTTTTCCACTACAAGCCAAGCTACTTGTAATCCTTCCAAACCTTTAAAGGGGACCTCCCTTGTTAGCATTTCCCAGAGAACCTGGAACAAAAAGAAAATGGAATTTTCATTCTTGTACTTTATATTTTTGGTATATTACTGAAACTTTATCTAACATTTAACTGTATCCAATTACCAGACACAACCAACCCCATCTGTAGAAACTTGGACAAAATGTTATATATTCATGAGCAGGACTTCTTCCATATATAATATACATTTTTTTTGTTCCTTATAAAGAAAAAAACTGGTTTAGAAATTAGAACGTCTAGAGCCAGACTTAAAATTTTATGAAACCAATGTGCCTAAGGGATTTAACTGTATCTCATAAGCTATTAAAATTCTCACATAGTCCCACAAATTAGATTTTATATTTTGTTAGGCAAACTCTTTCCACCTTCAATCTGTGATAAATTTCTCTATAAGGTAATAACAGGGAATTCAACAATATTTTTAAAGTTCAATAATAGTCTCATACAAAAAAAAAAATCAAGCCCCAAATCCAAATCACTGGCTAAACCATTTACACCAAAATGGTAGGTACCTGCCAAACTGTAATATTTGGAGTTTGTGTTTTGAAGAAATCTCTCTCAAAATGAGTCAGTCTAAGGATTCATCTTCATCCACCTATAGCATAATTTATTATACTATATTCTACAATGTAGTAAACACTTGATGTACATATAGGCTGAATGTGTGTGTGTGAGGTTATGTATGTGCTCATCTCTCTGCAAACCTTGAGGTTGGCATGATTAATAAATCTGCACTGGAATGCCCAAAGAAAGCAAACTGATACTGGGAATGCTGAAAACAGCCAATGATTTTGGTTTTTCCTTAAACAGTGAGTAATGGAGATTTGTGCACTCCAGTTACTTTCTCTATTTATACAAATGGGCATCAAAATTTGAGTCTACCCATACTTTGTGAAGTGCAAAAACAATTCTAATGTTATCAGTAATAATCATAATAATAACCACTATCATTTATTGAGCACTTATTATGTTTCAGGTACTCTGTCAAACCCTTTACGTATGCTATCATGATTAATATCAATCCCATTGGATAGATATTGTCCTCATTTTATAGATGAGGAAACTAAGGCTTGAGACAATTAATAAACTTGCTCAAGGACCCAGTTATCAAGTGGCAGAGCCAGAAGATGAACTTGCTGTCTCACCCTGAAGGTCAAGCTCTTAACCCCATGTCACTCTAGAGAAGGACAAGGGCAGTAGAAAGAGAATGTGACATGCCACATTTTAGGTATGGAGCCATGACAGAAGTGAGAAGCAAACTCAGCAGTTTTGATTTAGATTTCTCTTGCTCTAAAAACAAAAAAGTATTTCTAAATAAGAATGTAGATTGAGGACATATACTCTATTCAAGCAACTCCTATAAACCTTTAACTCTATAGCCACTATTTCCTCAGCCAGTGCTCAGTCTTATTCGAGCCACAACACGTTAAATGAATTCTGGCGAATATGTAGATAATTAGCAGGAAAATCAGGGAAATTGGCAGATGCTGCTCAAGCAAGAGAAAAAAATTCACTGAAGCCTCTTTGGGCTTTTAATCAAGTGTGTAAGGTACTTCTTTAGAAGAGCTACTGAATAATTCTATTTGAGTCACAGAAGTGATTAGGAAAAGATAAGGAGCATCCCCGAAGGGGAAGGGGACGATTCTAGTGAGCACTGTAAGTATTGGAAGGGCGAGAACCAGCACAGGTATGTGATCAGCCCTGACACGGCTGCACAGGGAAGGGAAGGGGGCAGCGCGATGGCTGAGCAGGAAATGAAGCCCCTCCATTTGCTGCAGTTACCACTCCCCTGGTGTTGGGGCTGGGGAGGGGAAGGGAGAGGAAGAGCAAGCAAAGGAATGGATTTGACATTCCTAAGGAGAATGGGAACAGTGAATCAGCCTCAAACAAATCAAATGCTCCAGACCTCAAAACGTTCAGATGAGCAGCCTTGCGCCCCCTCCTTTTGGAGTTTGGCCTGCATGCACAACACACTGCACACACGCACACACGAAGACTGACTGGGTTTCGTGAGGTAAAATGCAAAACCAAGAGCTTGGGGAATAACACCAGAAAAAGATTTATGTGATTCTTTATTCCAAAATATTCAGTTGGAAAATGTCCCAAATCTAACAAGAGCCAAGTTACATTTCTCTAAGAGTTCTACCCCTGGAAAAATAAGACAGTTTCATTTTACTCCCTCTCCGTGTCTCTGAAGAGCTACTATAGCTGAGGGAGCCACTTGATGGATGTGAAACTGTCCGGGATGGCGTCATTAGCCACTGGGTTCCGAAGCCCAAATCGGGTCTTCAGTTTAATTCCAGCTTCAGCACATCTCACGATTTCCTATTATTAATTTACCAGATTCAGGAATGTATCAAAAAGTAGGTGGTAGGAGATGGGACACCAGCTTTTTCTACACTAAACACAATAACATTTGGCACAAAAAAGTAACTTTGTTGAGGAAGTCATTTGGAGTTCTAAAAATAGATTCAACTATGCCTGAAAATATCAGTTGTGGGGATGCAGGCCAAACATTTTTGTGATCTTTCACCTTAAAAGTACTTTCCAACTCATTTTATATTGAGACGTCCTCACATTTAAACTGTGCTCACAAGGAAAATTTCTATTTTCGGTTTACAGCAGACAAACTTGGACAAGGCTATGTACTTTTCCTGCCTTTTCTTTTACAAACAATGGAAAGCCATTACCTGAGCCAGGCTTGTTCTGGAACAGGGCTCACAGACAAGTGAGGCAGCAATGCTCTCTCTTAAGCCACTTTCTTCTCAAAGCTGGTTTTGGCTGAGAAGCTTCTAAGAAGGTAATCCTCTCTGCATTGTCATTAGGAGAGCTTTGTTTTTAAAGAGTGGCTAGGCCTTGTGCTCTCAAAAGGCTTATTCTTACAATGATTTTTGCTTTCCGTAAGTCTTTTCTTTTTTGTGGATAGCACACTAAACACTCCTCTGGTCTGGCCCTTCAAGAGAATTTATCATGAGGGTAGAAAAATCTCCTTTCTTACAAAATGGAGAGAGAAACAGTTGCTTGCCCAGCAAAGTTTACCAGCTTAGCAGCAAGGATCACAAGATCCATTTCCGGCATTTGCAGCACATTGATTTTAAGGTTTTCCAAGGCTGGTTCATCTTCCATGTGTTAAGAAGCAACACAGGTTTATCAAGCTGGGGAGGGCTAGGGACTTTGATAATATTAGGGCTAAATTCTCACAGCAAGCCTGAAAAAATAAAAAATAAATTTTTTTTTCGGGGTGGTGGTTTCAAAAAAGAGCAACTCGTTTTTATGGTCTTATTCATCTGTATATGACCGCTATGTGTGTGGGGGCTCACACACATATGGGATGTCACACACATATGGAACTACGGGATGTTTTATGCAAAGAGATGCTCCTACTGACAAATGAGTCCTGGCTAGTAACCTTTATTTTTGAAAGAACATCAAAAAATCCAAATAACCACATTGCTTTCCTAGATAGGTGTCATTTTTAAAGTTTATGGACTACAAACTCCTAAAACTAACATGGCCCTACCTTAACAACCATCCTTTCCTGCTTTTTTAGGTAATACCTACTTTGAACATGTAATGCTTTCTTAATTTTTAAAAAATTTATGACTGTTTAAACAAAAAGACTCTGAAAAGCATGCCTTATACTTTTTCTTTCACTAATGGCGTTTTTCTAGAACAGAATGGGAAGGGGTCAGGATTAAATAAAATCCTGAATTCTCACTTATAATTAAATTAGCATATGGGCACTTTTCTGCATGGAATTCTACTGAGACAGCCATGGGGTTAGGGAGAACCAGCATCCGAGTCAACCTCTCTCTTCCAGACAACACAATAGCAGACACTGTTTTAAAACAAACAGATTCACCGAAAAGGCATTTTTGTTTTCACCAGTTAAAAGAAGACTCTAACATGAATGTAGAACTGATATTCAAAAGCGTGTGACAGGGCAAACAGGTTCAAAAGAGCAACATCTGGTGTGTAAATACAGAACAACATTGGAAATGTTCAGCGACTGGCTGTGAAGTTTGCTGCAGTAAGTTAAATTACTTGATAGGATGATTTGTTAAGCATATGTTAAATCCCTCAAAAGAACACAAAGGTAGAGTCAGTAAACAAGCAGAGAGAAAACCTAATTTGCAAAGAGAAATGTTCAGGCCCACCTACTGAAAAGTAATGCACAGTCACTTGAAGGAAAACCTTTTTAATAAAATAAAACATTTGCAGCTTCAGAAAGGTTGATTCAAACTGTTTAACATGAGGGGTCGATGTGGAATGAAAGAGGGATTTTAAAAAGAGATAGAAAAAATCCTAAGCTCCACAGCAGAAGTCACCTCTTAACATCTTTTATAGGGTCCATGTGAAAAAGGATTTGTTCTCGGTTACTCGAACGAAGATTCCACTTCAGCTACAGAAACACAGGTGGTGTATTTCACACAAAAGTCCCTGGTCACTGTAAGGTTTTGGAAGAAGGCAGTGTGAAGTTTCTTCATAAATGAAATAATATTGAAACCAGAAGTTTACTCTAGACAATACCTCATAGCTGTGTCTTTCAGGTCAAAAATTTCTGAGATAGGGAAATTCCAAGCCGTGGGGAGAATTTTTAAAAGTAAAAGCACTGTAAAAGAACTGGTAGAGTCCTAAAATGAGCCTCAAAAATCTCCTAATTCATATAAATGGGAAAAATAATTTAAAAACTCTAACCATCTAAATATATTTATATATATTGATGTACACCTGCAAGCAAAAGGAGCACGAGCTGTGGTCGCAGGTTGAATCACTATGAACTGTTCTTCTGCGTGTGCTCATCTTCCAATCTCGCTTGCTCCACAGAGGAGTCTGCAGACGAGGGCCTGCTGCAGAAGGCAGGGTGGTTTTAGCGTTTTTAAAGGGTTGTAAAAAACAAAAAACAAAAGAATATGCAGTAGAGACTGTAAATGGCCCTCAAAACCTAAAATATTTACTATCTGGTCCTTTATAGAAAAAGTTTGCTGGCTCCTGTGCCACAGGATAAAATGAGACCCTGGTCCCATCAAGCAGAAAAAGTAAAATTTAAATTACCCTGGCTTGGTGTCCAGCACAGTGCCTGACACAACAAATAGATTTTTGCTTAAAAATGAAGGAACAGGGCCGGCCCCGTGGCTTGGCGGTTAAGTGCGTGCTCTCCGCTGCCGGCGGCCCGGGTTCGGATCCCGGGTACGCACCGAGGCACCGCTCCTCCAGCCATGCTGAGGCTGCGTCCCACATACAGCAACTAGAAGGATGTGCAGCTATGACACACAACTATGTACTGGGGCTTTGGGGGAAAAACAAATAAATAAAATCTTTAAAAAAAAAAAAAAATGAAGGAACATAACTTCATAAGAGAAAATAATCTCACAAGAAGTCTTAAATTACAACAAATTCCCCCATTTTCATACTCCCCAGCAGCTGATTTGTAGGATGGTCATAATGTAGTAACTTTTGACAGAGGGGACCAGTTTTAGAATCTAGTCTTTCAGGAACTTATGGTTTTTTCCCCCTTTTTTCAAGGAGAATTATTTGATCCCTGTCTATTATAGTTTATAGCTTTCATTGTCAGAAACACACAGAATAAAGGGAAGTTAGATATTTAGCCTGATGCTACTGTTGTCTTCCAACCTTTGAAATTCTAGCCTTTCACCAAAAACGTATATTTCATTCTTGAAATGATTTTTCCAATAGTCAACAAAATTCATCTCTATTATATTGATTTGGTATACATAAGATGTGTTATGATTTAGAAAAAGTTAGCCAACTGAAACAAGACCAAAACTTAAGTAATGAAGCCAGCAGTAAATACCTAGAGACTGATGAACTCTAAAGAAAAAGGAATGGTCTCCTCTTGTGCCATCAGCTATCACCTTCAGTTGAAAACAGAGAAGTTCAGGAAGAAGAGGCATGTTGATTTGGCCCCAATTTGTCTGCTTCTTTTCCCATTATTATGAAAATGTCCTTTTAAGGAGTAATAATATAAATAGAGAGGCAGTATGACTGGGAGATGAGACGCGAAGACAGCAAGTTCCAAATACTATTTTGGACTTTTTAAAGGATATACAGCATTTTTAGGGATAAAGAACTTATCCTCCAAAAAGGGCCACAAATGAATTCCTTCCACCACTAAAGAACTGCCTTGCCCATCTTCCCCTCCCACCCCACTCCTCCCCCCACTCCTCCCACTTCTTTCTCTCTGCTAATGCAGATATAACTTATTCCTCAAGAATGATCCATCGCAAAACTCCTCCTGCAGAAGCTTCTGCTCCTTTCCTGACTCATTCCTGTAGTCTCTATTCCTTGAGTATCCTCCCCCCACGTTATTCTACTCTTGTAACTGTATTCCTCTGTCGTTATTCTTATATGACACTTTAGATTCATGTTTCAGAGAGCCACTACTACTTTATAAGACTGGCAGCAGACACGTGCAGGGCCATGTGCTATAGGCCAAGTACATTTTCTTCTGTACTCTCCAGAAACTCACTAATCAGTTTAATCGTTGACATTCAAAAATCTCCTGTTAATTAACTCATATGGCAGATCTGTTGGTGGTTTTTGAGCAACTCATTACAATGCAGTCCTGTTCCAAATGATCCATATTTCCATTGACTTACAGAGATATCTTACAGTCATACGTCCACCCAGGAAAGCACTCTCCACAGGAGTGCATCAGGCCCAACACTACTTTAGGTTCCACCTAATTTGCTTCTTGGAAGTGGCATTGGTTTCTTCTCAACACAGGACAAAATAACTCAGATGCACAAAAGTGATTAAAGTAAACATTTTAGCAATTACAAAGAGTTCTCTCTGTCACCACTGTTCTAGGCATTACACCAAAAACAGCATTACTGTCTTAAAACTTAAACTGTTATATCCCGCTTCTGTAGGTTGCTTGCTTTTTGTATTTCCTTTAGCAACAAAAAGTGAGAAATGAACTCACCACACCATAGGAATATGTGTCACAAGTTTCAGACACAGGGAGACTCTGGATAACTTCTGGAGCCATCCAAGGGAAAGTTCCAACCAAGGACATGTGTGTTGTATGGTTATGGAACCGAGAGGCGCCAAAATCGCAGATCTGAGAAAAGAGAAACAATTACCAACTTTCTACTAGTTGACTAATAAAAGGATTATCAGTCACAAAAACTTATATCTGAAATTAACAAATATTTTTTTAAAAAATTAAAAAACAGTCCTACCTTCAATACCCCATCAGCAGCTATAACAACTAAAAGAAAAAGAGAGATAAATTATGAGTTATCTAATTTGTTTGAGTTATACTAAAAAAAAAATCATAGACTTCTATTTCAAGAAAGGCAAAATCAAACTATTTACTGCATTGAAGATTTTGCAAAAAGGAGCTGAGAAAACAAAAACAAAAAATTAATACTAATACTAATACCATGAGGTGTTGATTAAAAAGGCTTTCAAGACATTTGTTTAAATCAAATGTAGTACTGTCCAGTAGTCAGGAGAACCAAATTCTTACTTGGGTTCTGCCACTAAACTGCCAACATGATATAGAGGAAGTCATTAGCATTATTTCTTCATGGTATATATGGTTTTTCCTCCCAACTGAAAAGTAATTTTTTTGAAGGCAGGGACAATATCCATCCATTCATTTATTCAGACTTTCATTCATTTAACAAATATTGGCTGAGCACCTACTATAGGCAAGGCTATATACTCTGTTCTGGAAGAGCAAGACTGGCATTGTCTCGGCTCTCATGGAGCTTACAGTCTAATGGGAGACACAATGGACAAACATCTATAGTAAAGTGGAATAAATTTCATGATGAGAGGCATAGAGACTGCCACAGAACCAAAGAGCAGGGATATCTAAGTCTAAGGAGGTCAGAGGAAGTTTCCTGGAAGAAATGATGCTTACGCTAAGACCTGAAGAACAAATTGGGATTAACCAGAAAGAGGAGAGGTGGGGGAGAAAAGTACTTTTCTAGGCAGAGGTAAGGCTTGCAAAAACAGCAGAGGAAAAGGCATGCAATTCTGGAAGGCAGGCACCAGGTCCAGAAGAGCCTTTGTGAGAAATGGAAAGCCAATGAACAATTTTAAGTGGAGGAATAAAATGGTCAAATGTGCAGAAGGGAAAGTATATTAGAGAAGAACAGAACTGGAGGCAAGGAGATCACTGTGCATACAAGTTGTAGTCCAAGAGAGAGAGGAGGATGCCTACACTAAGGCTGTGGCAAAGGACAGGAGAGAAGTGGGCCAAGTCAAGAAACATTTAGGAGGCAGAATCAACTAGGCTTCAATAATTGGATGCGGGGGGCGGAGGGGAGGAGGAGGACTCCAGGACGAAATCAAATAAAGAGGCGATACAATGTAATGGTTAGAACAGGAGCTCTGGAATCACATTGTAATGCCTTTTTATCTAATTTCTGGCTTAGGCCACTGGTATTGCCACTCACTGAAGAAGGCAACGCAGGAGTAATTTTTTAGGCAGTAGAGAGAAGATGAAAAGATCAAGTTGGACACAATACATTTTAGGGTCATACAAAATACCTATCTGGCCATATCCAAGAAGCAGGTAGATAGTTTTGAAGTTGAGATCTGTTTGCGAGTGTTAATATGTAGATGGGGCTTTTATGGGAGTGGATGAATGAGAGCATAAGAGGAGAGGAGGCCAAGGACAGAACCCCGAAGAACGTTCCTGTCATTTCTGTTGTAAACCACACAATGCCTTGAACATGGTAGATGATCAATACTTATTAGTTGTTATTAATGATCTTGATAAGTGGGAAAAATAATCTTTGCATGATCTATTATATAGAAATAGCCTAAGGGTAAATGTGATACTGTAGGTAACAAGCTATAAACTTTTTCAAATAAAAATATATTTAATACTATATTCAGTTATTTAAAAAATACCCCTACTACTTTTTTCTCATAAGATTAACAAATGCATGTTAAAAAAACCTAACACTATAAAAATACACAGAAAATAAAAGAGTCTTGTTATTCCCTCTCCCAGAAAAAAAAATTGCTACGTTAGGTCTATATTATTTCAATGTATATGTGTTTTCCCATCAAGTAACTACATAAATTGTAATTTTTCAGATTACAATTGAGAAATCCACAAACCTCACAGTCCTGGAGGACCAGCAGGGGCAGCTGGTCTATTCCCTACTCCTCTTCCCCCACTTACCGTGACCACCCATTCTAAGGCTCGCACTATTAGAATATCCCCATTTTAACTGCAGTGATTTAAAGATTTTCTAAAAAGAAATAGTGCTCCTCCTTACTTAGAAGAATCACTTAAAAAGCATGTAAATAATTAAGTTAAAGCACATAAATGAATTGATAGTAAGGTTTTTTTTAAGTAGGAAACTCCGATGTTTACTTTAGCTAGTGCTGGCTAGCTAAATAATCCCACTGCCTTTTTCATTCAGTTTCAAGCGAGGTAATGGAAGAAGCATTCTGCTGCCACTTCTACTGGAAGGTAACCTCTAATCCTGCAAGTCGTTTTAAAATGCTCACTCTCCAAAATACAGGATCATAAATAAACTTTACAAAGCACACAAGAAGAGAAAGAAAAAGAAAGCCTTTTACTTTCTAAACTCCTGAATGTGCTGATCATTTTTGGGCACTACTCCAGGCAATATGACTGACATAAAAAATTTACACCAAATAATTCAGGAGTAACAAGAACAAAACAAAACTGCTCGTACAGAGAACCATCTAAAAATAGGAGACTAGAAATACATGACTACATGCTTTGATCCAGCAATACTTCTTTCAGAAAATGATTCTAGAGAAATAATTAAGGACGTGTTGAAAAATCTCGCTGAAAAGTATTAAGCTCAACATTTTTTATCATAGAAAAAAATGTAAACAACGCAAATGTCCACATTCTGTGCTACTCATACAGTGGAATACTATGCGGCCTCTTTAAATAATCTGGAGAATTCTGATTTTATTAACAGTAGAAAGATTTTCATGGTATCAGCAGTGAGTCAAAACAGCAGATACAACAGATATGGAAAGCATGATGCTTATTTCTATACACAGGTGCATGTGTTTTGTAATAAAACAGGTAAAATAAAAACATATGACTACGTTACCATTTCTTGACTTGAGATCTCTGTGAATCACCTTGACAGGAGCCTCCATATGTAAATAGTGCATTCCTTTTCATACAGGAAGGAAGAAAGGCCTATTAATATCATTTTTCAACACTGCATCAGTATTACCTTTCTATTTTAAACATCAGTATTACCCTTCATATTTCTGCAAAGGATTCAATAGCAGAAAGTCAAGTCATGTGTTCTGTTCTTACATGATTGATAAAATAGAGACAGGACATGTCTACATTAGGAAAATTTATACGCTAAAGAAAATTTATGTGCTTTAATCTCTTAGAAGTTGGAATTTGACTGTGGGTAAAGCTCCCTTCTACAATACCTAATATGGACACCTTAATTTTCTGGAGTCTGCACGAAAATAGCACAGTTAGAACCGGAAGAAGTGCTCCAATGACTAAGGTATTCCACTACCAACTTGCCTTCTAAACCAGCCCAAGTTCTGACCAAGGTTTCCAGTTTTCGTTTGGATGTTGCAGTTACCCAGCTGCAACTTTGTTTATTTCCTCAGTACTCATTCCAATAAGACCCTGGGAGTGGAGGTGCGGTAGGGGGGAGAACTGGCTGGATTCCTTAGTTGTGGCGGGTAAAGGAGTCTGTGTTTCTCAGACGGAGAAATATACAGTAGTTACAAAATATTTTATTCTTTTTACAAGGATAAATTTTTGAGATGATCTATATTTAAATGCATGCCAAAATTCTCTCCAACACATTTAGAATGTAAATCAAGTTACTGCAGTAAATTGGGTGTATATAAACTCAGTAGAGTTTTGTTATTTTGAATAAAAAATTATACTTTAAGAGACATGTATTTCAGAATCAACCCCTTAGTAGTGTTTGACTCTTTTTCTGTATTTATGTATTGTCTTCCCCCTTAGAATAAAGAAAAAGAACATTTTCTACTGAAATATTTCCTCTCCCTTTATTTCTCAAGTTGTCTATTCTCAATAATGAAAGAAATAGGTCCCCCCAAATCAAACAGATTCTTTCATTAATGAACTATCCGTTAAACTTAATAACTAAGCATTCTCTTTTTAAATATATACAAAATTTCAATTTCACAAAGGTTAATTTAAAAAAAACTATTATTTTTCTACTATTCCAATTATTTTATATATTGAAGAATCGTGAAAGGACAAAGAAAATTTAAAAATTTAAACTCTTGCCATATGAGTCAAGTTAACAAAAGTATTAGTAATTTAAATGATTTTAAAGAAGATATAATTGGAATAAAGGATATCTTTCTTCTAATATGAAGTTCTACATACTATAAACTATGAAAATTCAATAGCTACAACTTGGGTAACTTAATAATTTTTATGACTGAATTTCATAGTTACCTCTCTCTCGCCTTAAGAATCAAATTCCTGAATCATTTTTCAGGTAAAATCTGTTTAATTAAGAGGTAGAGCTGGATAGTTTCTACACTTGCTGACAAGTAGGGATTTCAAAAACAGGACTCAAGAAGAAAAGCTTTAAATATAGGCACTTTTCTTCCTCATGGCAGATATGAGAAAAAGTACCGTGAATTATTTGTATATAACATACAGTATACATTTATAGAATATTTAGTGTACATAAATACTATGTAATACAGTAATCACAATCATATAAAATTCTATTTCATTTGTTTTTATAGCACCATCTATAATTCTGCCTTTTTTTTATAGCAAACAATTAAGGAGGCTGAAAAATACCTTCATCAGTTAAGATTCCGGGTGTCCTAAAAAAGATGTGACAGGTGTCAATTGGGGAAGATTTGGAATCAATGATGACCTTTTTGAGACTGGATCCAGGTTTATCTGCTTTAATTGTTCCTTTTAGGCACTGCTGATTGACTTGCAGCAATTTCAGACACACTTGGTGGTCCGCCCTCCACTCCTCTTTCCACCAGAAAGAAGAGAATCTTTTCTTGGCTTTGAGGAGATATTCTCTCAGCAGTGATGTTAAGCAATGCCTATTTCAAAATGCATGAATCAATTCTTTTTTGAAATGAATTATTCATGCTTTGATTTCTCAACATCTTGTTGCTTCAGTGGCTTCAAATATGGTCAGACTGAAAGGTACATCGCTGAATTTGAAGCAAAATCAACAAAAATCAAGCCTTCCTATTTAATCTTGAAGTTCTCCACATAGCTTTACCACAGAGGTTGAAGTCACTCCAAAAGTATTGATTTCTTCCTTTTATAGGCTGTTTTAAATATTAAGTATTTCTTCTGACTATAAATAAGCAAGTCTCTTCTCTGCCTCACTCTTCTCACCTGAGGCCAAACACATTAGAACTTGCCTTTCAGATCAATTCACCAGCCACAAAAACGTGATTTTAGTACTTTGTAGTTCTGGACACTGTCCCGTGGTCCACTCCCATTCTCTCCATCCCTATTCTTTACCTCTGGTTCCAGTTTGCTACTTGGTTCTGTGCCTTCTCTTCTTTGTCCTTCTGATACAGACTGCCAGCGGGCTTGAGAAACCCCAGGAATGACTGAGCTGACGATGGGGAGGCAAGGGCCTCGCCCCTCAGACAGGGACTATGCAGGGGAAGAGGCCAGGAGGGACGAGCTTCACAGGCTGGGGGCCAGGGAAGCTTAACTAGAGCATGCACAGCAGGAAGCAGGGTGACTGATGTCAGTTGATTTGTTTGCTGTCTATCCATCCTAAGTGCCATTAAGTAATAACATGGGTGTAATTGGCTGAGCATCCTAAATGCAAAGTCTGTTAAGGTGAAGTGCTTTAAGTGAAAGACTGCTTGTAAAAGTATTTACATTTATGTAAGTGTATTTCCACAATGCTTCAGGCAGCTCCCAATAACAGCACATCACCCTGCTTACAAACAGGTGGTCCCTGTGTACCACTGACATTCAGAGAAGTGACTATGATGTTACATGAAAATGTCTTGAAGAATGTGAAATTTTAAGGCTGATTTGAAACGCCTGATGCATGAATACACAATTAAGTTAATTAACACAGCCAGTGCCTTAAGTACACCATCCTAAACATAGAGCTTATTATTCTTATAAGGTAATGAAGTATCATTCAGCAGCATCATTTAGCATAAAACTTTTTTTTTTAATTTACACTTTCCCTATTTGAGGAATTTGGCAGGTGCTGATGAAACTTAAAACAGAAAAGATAATTCCACAAAGGAAAGACTATTACTTTTGGAAGTCATTGTGTGACTTTCAGTGAAAGCAAAGTGTGAGTTGCTCTCCTTCTTGAGTGCTAAATATCCTTTTATTTGCTTTATAAAGAGATGCTTGTAGAGACTGGAGTATTTCAAAATGCAAAGGAGTTAATTACCCCAGTAAAATTTGGGCACACTTGCTTTCCAGGGGTTGCTAGAATACAAATGTAACTACCAGTGTTCATTATTTAGATTAAGTTGTTTCCAAAGCAACTTTGACAGTTATAAATAAAACTCAGAAACATTCAGTTAGGAAAATGGAAAAAAAAAAAAGATAAAAATAAATGGAATTTAAATTGCTTTAGAAAGCATTAGTCTATGTAGGAATTTATGAGGGAAAAAGAACTGGGCACCTTGTTTAGGGATTTTGTGTATTAAAAATATTCTATTTCCAAGGTTGATTTCCAAGTTTACATTAAATATAAAATAAAATCTGAATTGCTTTTACATGGCAGAACAAATAAAACTATTTTTACAAGTGGTTAATATTTTTAGTATATTATTATGTATACAAAATGAGTAGAATTAATCCTATAATAAATCACCTTTTCTCAATACTGAGTCTAAGTAGAGACTTGCAGAACAACAACAGAATTACGACGTCTCCATTTAATGTGTCAAGCAAGCTGATCAACTACAATGTCACAAAATGCGGCAAAAACGGCTGCCCTGACCCACTGATTTTGTTGGGACCTGGTTTTAGGGAAAGAAAGAAAGGAAAGAGAGAAAAGGCATGCAGGAGTGGAAAAGCAATGACCTAAAATATTATTTGTGCAGTAAGTTGCAGAATTCTTGCTACTTTTGGTCTGAAAAAAGAAGAACATCTAAAGACACAGAATAACAAATCTGACTTAAGTCACCATGGCAGGATAGGAAAATGCTCCCCACCACTTCTGTAAGAATACACAAAGCATTATTACCTTTGGCTACATCAGTGGCCCAGGTCATGATGTGATCCATGTCCATCTCTTCACTTCTGTTACTGTTAATGTAATCATAGAGTGATCCCAGAGAAGCATATTCTATTTTTAAAGGAAAGATAAGCATATAATTAAAACCAAGGTGCATTTCAGAAATAAGACTTGATATTTTCATTGGGAAAATGTGTCAAAGAATTTAACAAAGGACATTAAAAGCATATAAAACTTGTTCCATACTGTGGTTTCTAAAAGTTAATATCATCTTGGAAAGAAATCTGTCCAAGACAAGGTCCCTAACAGAATGAATAGTAGAACTTCAGCTGAGTATGAAAACAAAGCCATTCAGACAGAACTGCAAAACACAAGGAGGTGGTGGAAGAATGTTATTTGAGACAAAAGCAGGCGTGTAATAGGTATTTCTTTAAAAATTGTAATTCTTATGAGATAGATAAAACACGTAAGTTAGAGGGTTTACGTGACAGTGTGAACAAATCAATCCTTGTTGTATCAAGATTTAGAAGAGCCCTCAAAATTCAAGCACAAAAGACCAAGAAAATGAGAAAATTCCTTTAAAAATGACTTTGAGATATAAATTAAGTACCATAAAATTCACCTACCAAGAATGGTTATATATGATGATTTTTAGTAAGTTGATAGATTTGGGCAACCACCACCACAATCCAGTTTTAGAACCTTTCCATCATCCCAAACAGTTCCCTTGTACCTATTTACAGTTAATCACTCTTAACCCAGCCCTACAATCTGCTTTCTCACTCTACAAGTGTCTTTTCTGGATATTTCATATAAATGGAATCATACAATATGTGGCCTTCGTGTCTGCCTTCTTTCTCTTTGCATAATGTTTCCAAGGCTCATTCATGTTGTAGTGTGTATCAGTACTTCATTCCTTTTTATTGCCGAATAATATTCCATTGGATGAATTTACCATATTTGGTTATTCATTCCTCAGTTAATAGATATTTGGATTGTGCCCAGTTTTTGGCTATGATAATGCTCCTATAAACATTTGTGTACATGTCTTTGTGTGGAAACATGTCTTCATTTCTCTTGAGTCGATTCCTAGCAGTGGAATTGCTGGGTCATACAGTAAGTTGACATTTAACTTTTTAAGAAACTGTTAAAGTGCTTTCCAAAGAGGCTGTACCGTTTTATATTTCCACCAGCAATCTATGAGGGTTTCAATTTCTCTACATCCTTGCCAACACTTAGTATTCTCTGTGTTTTTGATTACAGCCATTGTAGTAGGCATAATTCTAGTGGTATCTCGTATTTTTAATTTGCATTTTTCTAGCGACTAATGAAGTTGGGCATCTTTTCAGGTGCCTATTAGTCCCTTGTATATATTCTTAGTCAAAATGTCTCTTCAAATCATTTTCCCATTTTAAAATTAGGTTGTTTTATTGAGTTCTGAGTTCCTTATTTATTCTGGATGCAAGTCCTTTATCAGATTTATTATTTATAAATATTTTCTCCCAGTCTGTAACTTGTCTTTTCATTCTCTTAAGAACATCTTTCAAAGAGCAAAGATTCTTAATTTTGAAGTCAAATTTATCAATTTTTCTTTTATGGATTGTGCTTTTGGTGTCATATCTAAGAACTCTTTGCCTAACCCAAAGGTATGAAGATTTTTCTCCTATTTTTATTCTAAGAGTTTTATAGTTTTACACTTATATCTTACACTTAGGTCTATGACCCATTTTGAGTTTATTTTTGTGTATAGTTTGAGGTGAGGATCTAAGATCATTTTTTTGCATGTGGATTTCTAATTGTCCCAGCACAATTTGTTGAAAAGCCTATCCTTTACCCATTGAATTGTCTTGGCACCTTTGTTGAAAATCAACTGATGATCAATGTAACTGATGATCAATGTAAGGTTTTTTCCTCTAAATTCTTAATTTTGTTTCATTGATCTGTATGCCTATCCTTGTGTCAATATTGCACTATGATGATTACTGCAGATTTATAAGTTTTGAAATGAGGCAGTCTAAGTCTTCAAATTTCTTTCTTTCTTATTTATTTATTTATTTTTTGTGAGGAAGATCAGCCCTGAGCTAACATCCATGCTAATCCTCCTCTTTTAGCTGAGGAAGACCGGCTCTGAGCTAACATCTATTGCCAATCCTCCTCCTTTTTCTTCCCCAAAGCCCCAGTAGATAGTTGTATGTCATAGTTGAACATCCTTCTAGTTGCTGTATGTGGGACACGGCCTCAGCATGGTTGGAGAAGCAGTGCGTCGGTGCGCGCCGGGGATCCGAACCTGGGCCTCCAGTAGCGGAGCACGCGCACTTAACTGCTAAGCCATGGGGCCGGCCCAAATTTCTTTCTTTCTTAAAACTTGTTTGGCTATTCCAGACCTCTGCATTTCTATGTGAATTTTAGGATCACCTTGTCAATGTCTTACAAAAGAAGTTTGCTGGGATTTAGATAGGAGTTGTTTTGAATTTATAGATCAGTTTGGGGAGAACTGCCATCTTGACAATATTGAGTCTTAACAAACACATAATGTCCCTCCATGTATCTACATCTTTGTTTTCTCTTAGCAAAGTTTTGTACTTTACATTGTACAAGTCTTACACTTCTGTTAAATTTATACCCAACTATTTTATTCTTTTTGATAACTACTGTGAATAGAATTGTTTCTTAATTTCATTTTTAGAATGTTCATTCCCAGTATACAGAAATACAACTGATTTTTATATATTGATCTTAGATCCTTGTGACCTTGCTAAACATGTTTATCAGTTTTAGTGGTTTTTTTGTGGATTTCTTGGCATTTTCTACATACAGGATCATGTCATATAAGACAGTTTTACATCTTCTTTTCCAATCTAGATGCCTTCCATTTTCTTTTTCTTCCCTGATTGCACTGGCTAGAACTGCCAGCACAATGTTGAATAGATCTGGCGAGAGCAGAACCTCATTGCCTTGTTCCCAATCTTAAGGGAAAAACATTCGATTTTTCACACTAAGTATGATATTAGCTGTGGGTTTTTGTAGATGCTATTTATCAAGTTGAGAAAATTCCCTCTATTCCTAGTCTGTTGAGGTTTATTATTATAAATGAGTGTTGTAGTATGTCAAAAAGTTTTTGTCTTTTATTCTATTATCTATTATAGTGCCTTACATTAACTCATTTCAGATGTTAAACCAACCTTGCAATTCTGGGATAAATTCTATTTGATCGAGGTATATTATCCTTTTTATGGGTGGCTGGATTCAGTTTGCTAATATGTAGGTAAGGATTTTTGCATTTATGTTGATGAGGGATGTTGGTCTATAGTTTTCTTACTATATTTTTGTCTGGCTTTGGTTTTAGGATCACACTAGCCTTATAGAGTGAGTTGGTAAGTGTTCCTTCCTCCTATATTTTCTGAAAGAGTATGGGAAGGACTGGTGTTATTTTTTCTACAAACATTTGATAGAATTCACCATCATCATCTAAGTCTGGGCTTCTCATTATGGAAATATTTTAAATTACTAATTCAAATTTCTTTACTTGTTATAGGTCTGTTCAGATTTTCTGTTTCTTCCTAAGTCAGTTTTGATCATTTGTATCTTTTTAGGAATGTGTTCATTGCATCTAAATTGTCTAATTTGTTGGCATAAAGTTAGTCGTAACATTCCCTTAAAATACTTCTAAACTTCTGTAGGGATCATAGCGCAGTCTTCTTCATTCCTGATTTTGCTAATTTGAATCTTCTCTCGTTTTTCTTGGTCAATCTAGCTAAAGGTTTGTCAGTTTTATTGATCTTTTAAAAGATCAAATTTTTAATTTCATTGATTTTCTCAATTATTTTTCTGTTTTCTATTTTACTGCATTCTGCTCTAATCTTTATTATTACCTTTCATTGGATTGCATTGGGTTTATTTTGTTTTTTTAGTAGTTTCTTAAGGTTGAAGCTCAGATGATCAATTTCAGACCATTTTTTTTTTGGCCATGGATATTTAAAACTATAAATTTCCCTCTAAGTATTACTTTATCTGTCTCCTATAGTTTTGATATGTTGCATTTTCATTTTCTCTCTGTCCAAAATATTTCAAAATCCATTGTGATTTCTTCTTTGACTCATTGGGAGTTTAAAAGTACATTGCTTAATTTCCAAATATTTGGGGATTTTCCAGATTTATTTCTGGCATTGATTTCTAACTTAATTCTACTGTGGTTGGTGAACAAATATTGCATTATTTCAATCCTTTTAGATGTACTGAGATTTTTTTGTGTGGGCTAACTTACGATATATTCTGGAGAATGTTCCATGTACGCTTGAAAAGAATATGTATTCTTTGTTGGACAAAGTGTTCTCTATATGTGAGTTAGGTAGAGATGATGGAGAGTGTTTGTCAAGTCTTCCATATCCTGGCTGAATTTCTGTCTAGTTGTGTTATCAATTATTGACAGTGAGATACTGAAATCAGTTATTGCTGAATTGCCTACTTCTCCTTTAAATTCTGTCAGTTTTTGCTTCATGTACTTTGAGGACCTGTTGTTAGGTGTGTATACATTTACAACCGCTATATCTTTATGATGTATTGATCTCTTTATCATTATGAAATGACTCTATTTGTCTCTAGTAATATTTCTTGTCAAGTCTATTTTGTCTAAAATTAATATAGTTACTCCAGTTCTCTCATGGTTATTGTTTGCATGGTGTGTCTCTTTCCATCCTTTTACTTTCAACCTATTTGTGTCTTTGAATCCAAGGTGTGTCTCTTGTAGACAGTATACAGTTGGATCTCGTTTTTTAATGCAGTCTGACAATCTCTGTCTTTTGACTGGGGTGTTTAAGCCACTGACACTTAATGTAATTATACATATGGTTAGATTTACTTTTGCCATCCTGTTTTCTACATGTCTCCTGTCCTTCTCAGTCCTCTGTTTCTCCTATACTGTCCTCTTCTGTGTTAATATTTTTTATTTATCATTGTAATTCCTCGGTTGATTTTTTTCTATATTTCTTGAGTGGACTTTCTTAGTGGTGGCTCAAGGGATTATAAAATGAGCTCAAGGGAATATAAAAATTCAGACTAACTTAATTATAGTAAAATATAGAAACTTCTCTCCAATATAGCTCCATTCCCTC